ATTATCATTATTTTTCTTGTTATAACCTTGTTATTTTTAAATTAATGACATATGTAATTTTTCAAAGAATTAAAATATCTTTGTTCATTTGTTTAACAGAAATTCTTAAAAATATATATAAGCCATGTTCTGACATTTTCACTAAATAGACAAATCGAAAAATATTTTTAATATTTTTAACGCATCTTTTGAGATCTGTAATGACTTTAACCGGCGCTTTTTTTTTATTAAGTATTCGATTGTTAAGTCGATGAACAATAAAATATGTTTAAACTATTGTGTTTTTTTAAAGATTTTTACCTTCCTCAAAATAAAATTAATATAGAAAGGTTACAGACTTATACTAAATGAAATAAACAAAATGAAAATTGTATTATAAATAAACAGTGATTCTCAATTTTAAATGTTATAGAGCAAAACGTTGTATTAATATTATATTAACATTTTTATAACTATTTGTAAATTGAACATCAAGAAAATAAAAATTTATTGATGCATATCATGGCAGACTTTGATAACAGATTTTGTCAGTTTGTTGATTACAGTTCGTATTTCAGAATGAAGAATATGTCATTTCCAGCAGTGGTTGCTCTATTGATTATTGCATTGTCTACTGTCGTTGTCTCACAATGTCCCACCAACTGTACTTGTACAACAAACCATAATGGAGTCGATGTAGATTGCGATAACAAAGGATTAACGGTTATGCCAACAAACTTTCCAAGTAACTCATACCTCATGTAAATATCTATTAATATTCAGTCTTTTACCATTAGTAATTCAAAAGTCTGATGAGTTCACAATGATTATAATGTTTAAGACAATTCATTTAATACTAAATGGGCTTGCAAAAACTGTACGGCGAAGATACAAACAACCGTTGTTAAAAATGCTACACAAAACACTAAGTATAAATAAATAAGGATGTTATCAGAATCGAGGGCCGACCGCAGATGCAATTGGCAACAAAAGCTTTGCAATTTATTCATTTCTTTTTAATGCAGATTTCAAATTTTAAGGTAATACGAATATTTCAACATAAAAGTATAAACAAAAAGCTTTGTTTGTGGAGTATCTAGTAAACTCAGTAGCTTCTGTACATTTTTTTTGTTTAAGAACTTTTTTTAATATAACCCATTCAGTTATATTTGAATATCAGGAATCAGTCTCCACAAAAATATCATGAATATATATGTACAAAAGCTGAGAAGATGTAAATATGAAATAATACATGATATATAATATGTATAGTCAAAGAAGAATAGACAACATAATGACGACAGGTATATTTTGTTATGGAGAAGCAAGGGTTCGAATCCAGTTGTTAACATTATGAATTGACCATTATAAATAATTTTCCCAGTAAAATCGGTCAGTCGGCATTTCAATTTCAATATTTCTCAAAAGATCACATTTTGCAGTTTGTTTATCCATAGATGTTTTTGTAGTTTCGTCAATTGAACAAAATTGTAATCCCCTGGACGGTTGGCAATTTAATTTCAAAATTTCTCAAACGATCACTTATTGCAGCTCGGTTGCCGTAGTTTCGTCATTTGAACGCATTACGTCACATTTCACATAATTTTTCATTAAAATCTTTCGACAAATTCGATTATAAGGTTTAAACTTTATTCAAAACGTTCCAAAACATGTGCTTTCTTTATCATAATCCGCTCAATCGTGAACGTATTTGTATAAATTTAATAGACACTTAAACGTAAAATACGAAATCATTTAGTATCAAATTAAACAAGAGAGACAAATATATTTCGTACTGAGCAACTTAATAAAACAAAATGATAATTTCCTGCCTATTTGTTAAACAAAAACCAATCCGTAGATGAATCCGGATTGATTCTAAATTTATTATCCCCTTGTCACTTCCTTTTTTCACTAGTTAAAAAATCGAAAGTAAACGTGATCTACTTTTGATAAATTTAAAATAGACAGTCATTTTAATCGTTCGAAGAAAAAATGAATACCAAATATCGATTTAAACGTTTTTACAGGGATAGTGATTATGTTGTGAAATAATCGTTACAATTTCATTTATGCTGTGATTATTTTCTTCTTCTTCTTCAGTTTTCGAAAACCATCAACAAGAAGACGACATACTGATGTTTACTTTCCTGGTTCTAAAATAGAAGAACCCAACTTTTGTTGATCAGTATGTCCCCTAAAAATTACTGAAATTGTGAACTTAATTTCTGGATCCTTGTTCTAATCTTCATATTTAAGCACCAAAACAGTCAAATCATGCCATGAATGCCTACATTTGTAGCATGTTTAAGGCATTCAAAGATCCTGTTCCTTGAAGGACTTGGGCAAATGAATAGCTAGTTATATACGTCCATGGTCCATTACTGTTACCCAAAATAAGGTTTGATTTTCATCTCGCGTAAAAGTGGCTAAAGCCCTCAAAACGCCTTGCTGAAACTGTATAGTGGCAAGTATAGATGGTGTACTGTTTGTCTTTTTATTTTTGGCCATGGCGTTGTCAGTTTGTTTTCGATCTATGAGTTTGACTGTCCCTCTGGTATCTTTCGTCCCTCTTTCAGATCAGCTATTTTGTCTGTCGTAAAGGATGATCGTAAAGGATGATAATGTTAATTACTATGCCGCCACATCAAATTTTAATCTTATTATACACGTCTAAACATGTGACAACTTTATACAGTGGTTATACAGGGCAAACACTGTATTAATTATTATGTACTAATATACTGCAGTGATGGCTATATATCTAAATAATGTATCAGGATTATTGCCCAGACGGCTTCTTGCAGGAGTGGTCTATGGTATTTAGCGAACTACTGTTCCATTTTACAACAAAACAAAAAGAAGGTTCCTGTAATAATATTGATTGGATTTATATTTAAACAATGTGTGATAAATTTAAGAACGGTGGACAGGATTCAGTTTTCATAAGAGGGAGACGTGTTGGCTTCATATGGAACGTTTGGGAGATTGGCAACGTTTTGGCGTTCATATAAAGGAAACGTTTTAGTGTTCATTGACGTCTGACATATGGACACATTTGGTAAATGGACATGTTTCTGAGTGGTACATACATATTACTCCTTACTTGGGAGTACTCAATGTGCACTTTAAAAATACATGTAGTTTATACATAAATATGAAGTGGGAAAGCAATACAAAAATTAAATGCAACCATATATATGTATTTTAACCAAAATATCTTCACTAGGCCTACATGTTTTTTTTCTCAAGTATTAAACATGTTGTCTAAGATCATATTTTCAACGTGTTGCTTCATGCAGACTCATGGTTGAATATGGAAGATTATGTTGTATTGACAAAGTTGCTGGTATGGAATGTTCCAACATGTGTTCTGTTTGGTGCTCGTTTGCTAGCAAATAATGATGGCACGTGATTAAACAATGATGTCAGATTCTCTATTATTCTAGAACATCGTCCGCCATCTTTATGTGTGCATACACAATATCCTCATCATAAGCCATTTATCTAGTATAAACTTGAACAAAATCCAAGACATACAAAAGATATGTGCACGGTTACACATTAAATACAAAGATAGTGCAAATACAGATAATTCAGATATTCTGTTGGTCCGAAAAATCAGAGAATAGCAATGTCAGTGACTTAAACCGTCAAGGTTCATATTTTTGTCTATTGTCTACATTTGAAAGAAATGTGATTGCCAGGAGGGTCGACCGAGCCCAAATACAATACAAATATGTTGTAAATAATGCTCACCGAAATTTCTGAAAACAAAAAGGTTATATTCTTAATTGAAGTCTAAGAAGATCATTGAAATGTCTCATTCATGGATTTTTTTTATGGTGCGATAGATCCTTACTCACTATCTCTTCACAAAACAAAATTGTATATATTAGAATTTCAGTTTGAATAATTAAAAAACATAAACAAGCATGGCATACGTTATATATATATATATATATCTTTGTCAAGATTTTCTTTGTAAAGGCTGATATATTACCATGACAGTGTAATTCTCTTAGGAATTATATTTGAGCGGAGGTTGTGAATTTTTTAGATCGTCACAATAGTTCAACCAATCAGCGGAATATTAAAATCTATTTTTGAAGCAGATTTTGCATATTTTCGCACACTAAAATTTAAAAAAAATAGATTGCTTTTAGTAGATATAAAACAGGGAATAGGGTTAAAAAAACACCCACTAATTTGAAAAAAAAAGTTTGACCAGCGGCGAAAGTTAATATTAAAGGATTGCAGAACTTTGAATTAAAATAAAGAAATGAAAAACAAATTTCATTTTGAAAACTGAGACAAAACTGAGTGCACCCTTATTTCTGTCCATCAGTCACATTACAATCACGTGAGACCAGACATACTCAAGATGTTATTTTTAGTATGTCTGTCGTTTGGTCACTTTATACTCATTGAATACCACACTATTCTTTTTGTTCAAATTGTCAATATGAAAATGGATTATTACCTAACATTTTTTTTTAAACAATTCGTAGTTCAGAGATAGCATTATTCCATTATTTTCAAAGAACTGATGAAAAACTTATTGTTCAAAGTTTTGAATATTGCATACACATTATTTCTAGTTCAAATAATTTAGTACAACAAACGTACTATTGGGGTGATGTTTATGCTGAAAAAAAGAACTATTCAATGACATCCAAAACCTAGTTACTCAATAAATGTGTTGTTACAATTATAAAAAAAAATTATAAAATTTTGCTACTACTTGTATTAAGTACACTATACATGTACTTTAGAAAAGATGTTACCATTTCTGTCTTTAGATAAATGCTACATCAAAATGCTGAGAATGTGTATCAGGAAAACACCCAGTTGAAGGAATAAATGATGACCAATTAAAACATCCCCATAATCAATCGAAAATACTGACTACTTAAGCACAATTGATATAAAATATATTTTTTTACTGCACTTCAGAAATTTGATGAACAATGTTTTAACCACAATTGAAGATGGAGCATTTCAAAATCTTCTAGTAGTATATGGAATGTAAGTATAGTTGGAAATGTCATAATCATTGATATTTGTTTTCCTTTCTTATATAGATATGTTGTCCGAATACACAATGTAAAAGTTGAGAAATACCAAGTAACATAATAAAGTAAACACATTGATTTTGCTACTTTTCAAAAGTTTGTTGTCTATATACAGCAAATACAAAATCCTGTAATTGTAATTATTGCTTATAATATCGTATATAAATGACAATAACAAAGTCTAGCACATTATTGTTATTCTTACTGTTTAATTTGTTACTAGAGATCTGAGCAGTTGTAATATATCAACCATTGAGACAGGCGTATTTTCGGATTTGCCTCGTGTTCGAACCATGTAAGTATTTTATTAGATTATAATTTTTTTCTGATAAATAAATGTTTTTGATGAACATTAAAGTTAACGACAATTACAATTTCGACACACATTCGACTGTTTGCTATGGCATTTTGTCTCCTTAATAACAAGGACACACAATTCGTTCTTTTATAAACTGTCTTTCTAATCATAATGTTTAATTAAAGCTGCCACCATTATTTTTATAATATTTTTGCACCGACTCATATCAAATGATGTAATATTGGCACGATTTGCGAGATATTAACAGGATGATAGAACTACAATTGATGTACCCAAATATTGATATTATATGCCTAACAATATTCAAATAATGAAGTATCAAACAGCAAACGCTATGTAAAATCAAAAATACAGTAGGAAACGAAATCATCTATATAAGTGCGGGTTCTTAACTCATGTGCGACATGTTTTTGCGGTCTAAATTTTAAAGATACTAGATAAGTTATCTGATTTAAAATTTGTTTTACTGTTTGTGTCTTATTCCTGATTGTGACATTTTACCTAAGTGTGACTTCGCATGGCGGGTGATGCATGAACATTAGTACATACTTACCTTGTAGAGGCACACCGTCTCACTCCATTCTTACTTCTTGCGATATTTCAATGTGTGTGTTACCTTAATGTGTCCCATATTTATCGATTGACGAGTGAGACTTGAACATCGGTAAACTACTGTTGCTTTAATTTAAGAGAGCTTTTTTGAATTTTCTAGTCAGTATTAAACAACTTACTAAGCTGGGTTCCTGTAGAAGCAAGTACATTTTGACTCTGTTTATGGTGTTTTTAACTTTCTTGATCAATAAAATTGAGAATGGAAATGGGGAATGTGTCAAAGAGACAACAACCCGACCATAGAGCAGACAACAGCTGAAGGCCACCAATGGGTCTTCAATGCAGCGAGAAACTCCCGCACCCGAAGGCGTCCTTCAGCTGGCCCCTAAACAAATATGTATACTAGTTCAGTGATAATGGACGTCATCCTAAACTCCAAATTATACACAGGAAACTAAAATTAAAAATGATACAAGACTAACAAAGGCCAGAGGCTCCTGACTTGGGACAGGCGCAAAAATGCGGCGGGGTTAAACATGTTTTTTGAGATCTCAACCGTACCCCTATACCTATAGCCAATGTAGAAAAAACAAACGCACAACAGCACGTACAGTAAAACTCAGTATAGGAGAAGTCCGAGTCCGATGTCAAGTCTGTTTTCCTTATGTAGGTAGTGGAATTTTTCCTTAAGTGTTAAAATTTTACGACATAGGCAAATGGGAAGATTGTGTGGATTTAAAATGTCTTAACACCCCACCATATATATGTAGTATTTGTTTCGTGTCTGTCTACATGTACCTTGACATTTTGTTATTTCTGTTTTTGTCAAACTTGTATGTCTAGTCTGGTGTTGGTGGATTGTGTGGTCGGTTATACTGTGAAGTATTGTTGTAGTTTCTGTTATCATTTTAATATATCAAAACACATCAAAGTTATTACTTATTGAAGTTGTGTCGTCTAACAAATTGACTCTTGTTTGCCAACGTCGTATGATTTGTCAATATATAGAAACAATTCCTAGCGAGACAGAAAACAATAGCTCTTTAAGAAGCGAAACTGGGATCACAGGATGACAAGTGTTTATCCTCTCGGGATCCATTTTTCGCTTTACATGTCATTAAAGCTTAAAGTTTATTAATAAACTAGAGGCTCTAAAGAGCCTGTTTCGCTCACCTTGGTCTATGTGCATATTCAACAAAAGACACTCTCCAACATTGTAGACGAGAAAATAATTCATGACAAAAATCTCTGGTTTGTTGATCTTGTATTGCTGATCCTTTGGTCTGTTTAATTTCTCTCTATCTTTAGTTTTTGCTCAAAACACAAGAGGGTTAATAAAATATCATTTAAGAGCAATCACTCCTATAAAGAGTGATAGTCTACTTACTTTATTGGCAAAATTTGACTTATTAGTAGATCTTGCCTTGCTGATAATTTTTGTGACTTAAAGTGTCTATGTATCTAATATAATTTTTATCATATAAGACAAAACGCAAACAAAAAAGGAAAAAAAAATTGAAGGGCAATAACTCCAATAAGGAGTCGTCAGACGAGTATCCCCATATTTTCATTTTTGCTTATTTAAGTTCCTATCTATCCATTATAATTTTTAGGATATAAGGATATAAGGCAAAAACGTAAAAAAATGGTAAAAATCGTCATCAGAGGGCAATAAATTTACTAAGGAGTCGACTGACGATTTCGACCATGTTGACACATTTGTAGAACTTGTTTTGATCATTTTTGCAATTTAAAGTTTCTCTCTATCTATAATAGTTTTCAAAATAATAAGCAAAAATGAAAAAAAAAATGGTAAAATTTGTTATTTAAGGGCAATAACTCCTATAAGAAGACGTATATAGACAATCGGTAGAGCTCAACATTCTGAACATTTCTGCCTTGTCACATTTTCTCTATTTATAACGGTGTTCAAAATAATACACAAATAAATATAAGAAGATGTGGTATGAGTGCCAATGAGACAACTCTCCATCCAAGTCACAATTTGTAAAAGCAAACCATTATAGGTCAAAGTAATCTTGCATTTCACCCCTATGTTCTATTTATAGCCATGGCGGCCATATTGGTTGGCAGGAGGGGTCATCAGACATATTTTTTCGATTAGATATCCAAATAATGATTGTGGCCAAGTTTGGTTAAATTTGGCCCAGTAGTTTCAGAGGAGAAGATTTTTGTAAAAGTTAACGGACGACGGACGCCAATTGATGAGAAAAGCTCACTTGGCCCATTGGCTTAAAAAGTAATTGCAAGAATGTTTATTTAAATTCTAAATAAGAGAAGGAATTTTTTTTTAAGTTGAAATCCGTTCCTTGTAAGGTTAACACCAAAACTTCAAGTTTAGGTCAGCACTCTTTAAGATCAGAACACCGTCTACATCCCGAAATTATGATAACAAATGAACATATACAGGAAAACACCATTGTTTTTTTTCCAGATATTTGAGCAACAATGATATATTTACTTTACATAAAGGAACGTTTAGAAGTCTCCAATCGGTATATACTATGTATGTATACATTTTTATAGTATTATATTAAGACATGTACCAAGGAAAACAAAAAATTAAAATTAGGATTATTTAAGGGCAGAGTATCTAAAATATGGAGATAAGGCAAGCTTTCAAATGAGACTACTATCCACAAAAGTTCAAACGACGTGGAAGTAAACAAGTATAGGTTACCGTACGGCATTCAGCAATGAGAAAACCAGTATCGTATAATCAGCTATAAGAGACCTTGACTAGAAAATGTGAAACAATTCTAACCAAAAAACGAACAGCCTAATTTATAGCAATTATATATATACGAAAAACAAGTACGACGGACACGGACACGAATCAACGACAAACTCTGAATTACAGGTTCATGACTTCAGACATAAAGAATATGGCGGAATTAAACATTTTTGTATGTTTATTATAAATTGTTACAATTTACTGCGTCTGCAAACAATGTCGTAATTTAACTGTAAAGTTATGGGACTCACACGAAAAAGCAAAAGAGTTGTAAACGAAGGATATTCCTGTGAGTATTAATAAATGACATTGTTTATAAAGAAGTAAGCAGTTTGAGAAAATGAATGAATATTTTGAAGGTAGAGCCATTTCGTTATATGTAGTAGCTGGCATAATAGTTAGGAGTAGGCATGATTCATAAATGACGTGATTATATAAGAATTGAAAATGGAGACAAATTAAAAAAAAGCATTCATAAGGACAGCGTCTAAAATGAGTAAAGTTAAAATAATGGATTTAAAAAATCGTCCAACAAGTGAACTAGAGAGAAAGCTAGAGCTTTATGAACCATTACAGCAGGAAGATTCAACAAGCATGTACGAGCGAAAGCAGCAACATATAACTAAAATATAGTGCAATGGTTCCAGTGGATCAAAATACGCGTCAATGGGAAAGGTGTGGTTATGCAGAACTGTAGAAAACATTTATGAATATGCAGATCAATGTTTATGTGGACGAAAAGAAAAGGAATAGATGATATGTTAAAGTTAGGCGGGTTCAAATGCAGTATGTTGAAGACATTTCAAATAAACAAAGAATCAAAATGATAAAAATGAAGCGATTTTGGGTACGACCCAAGTGGTCAAAATCGCTAACTAACATGACTATTTTGTTTTTGAAAATTACAAATGAAGAAGTCTTTAGAGGCATAAGTAAATTAATTTTAGTCTAAAAAGTCATTTTGATATTAATACCATCTGAAAAGTCGGAAAAATAAATTATTCAGTCATGTTCAGTCTTTTAGTCAATGTTCAGACTTATCAACCGTGGTAAATGCAGAACTGTTCTGTAAACTGAAAAAATCACAATCATTCAATTCAGTCCTGTTCAGTAGCTTTTCAGATGATTCAGTAGGATATTGAAGTGTATAGGTACAATCTTTTAATATAGACTGAATAAATCTTTATTGACTGCAAGCAAGTTGTCTCAACAATTCTGAATTAACTGTAGTGGATAAGTCCGAAAATTACAGAAAGATTGAAATAACTTGGAAGAATACATTGGACTTACAATTTTTCCACAACGTTTAGAGAATGAATTAAACCCAAGGAGCAGAGAGAAGACATACGTCTTTTGGTGATTTTTTTCAAACTTTAGATCGTTGAACGCTGTCATCATCAAGTCTTTAGACAGAGAGTTAGACAGAGAGTTAGAGATGGCAATCATAGAGTAAAATTTCCAAGAGAGCTTTGCACAATTTCAACGTGATGATGCTCTTAATATAAAAATAAGGCGATATAGTATGATTGCCAATGAGACAACTAGCAACCAAAGTAAGCAATTATAGGCAACCGTACGGCCTTCAACGAAAAAATGAGAAAAAAACCCATACCGTATGGTCGGCTATAAAAGACCCCGACATGAAAAATATGAAACAATTCAATTGAGAAAACTAACGGCCTAATTTATATCAAAACAATTTACGAAAAACAAATATGACAGACATAAACCAACGACAAACACTGAACTAAAGGCTCCTGACTTGGGACAGGCACATAAAGAATGTGGCGGGGTTAAACATGTTTGTGAGCGCTCAACTCCCCCTCCCCTTCCAACCTGGGACAGTGGTGTAACAGTAAAAGGCACAAACTATAACAAATCAGTTGAAAAAGGTTTAACTCATCAGATGGATACAAATAGAAATACAAAAACACAGAGTGGACGTTGACGGGTACTTATACATCCCCACCACAAAAAGACACTAAGTACAGATCTGAGAGTACTCGCAGTTACTGACAACTAGTTCAAAGCCAATAACTTATAACACAAAATCATGTATCTAAGAATTAAATATCATTCAGTACACATCCATCATCCAATGGATTTAGTGTAAAGACGTCATTTACAGTCGGAAGAAAACATGACCTTGTGCAATGCTAAACTATAGGTATCGACAGTTTGTAGTACCGTGAAAGTACATATGTGTAATGTTACTATGGTTTAAATTTACTGAAAACAAAATCAATATTTATACTAATAAAAACAATATTCAAAGATTTAACTACAGTCTTGAATAGGTAACCGTTTAGAATAAGTTTATTTAAAGGATTGATAAGTTTACCCGGATCATATCTAAATTTCCGGGCTCGGTTTATAACTTCACCGTAAAATTTAGGATGTGCTATTTCGTTTGAACACTACAAACCAATATGAACAATTAAAGGAGCTGAGGGAAGTCCATACATTCCCCTATAACAATAACACGAACGAAAGAAAGCAATAGCCAATGGGAACAACGCCGATCAGGATTTGTTTTCGATCTGCTCTACATAATGAGGATGTGGATCAGAAGCAACCTCATCGGGTGTATCGGTAAAAGTAGAAATATTAGACCAAGTTTGAGAGCACATGAGTTCCCAATCTCTTCAAAGCAATCATAAGGTTTTGAACATAAAAAACCAATGTGAACGTGTAAGATGGCGAGATGTGATAACGGAAGGGATGCTAACGACAATTGGAAGAGTATCATTTGAGTATATTAAAACATTCGGGTACAAGGGACATATATCTCAAACTGTATTAAAACCACATATTATATGACAAAGGGGATTAGAAACAGCCATTGCTTTATCAAATGTATGGTGCAGTTCAGAAATTCATTAATTATATCAAGAATGAGATAATTGCTTTCGCAAAGATTTACCGACACAAAAATGATGATGATCATGACAATGGCTAATAACTTTAGAAAACAAGGAAGATTATGAGTCGACCAAAGGTTGTCCAATCTGCTGTAAAGAAATAGGAAATGACAAGGTTCACGATCACGAGCATAGCTGATGAGAAATATAACAGATATTCAAAGAAGGATATTCGTTTGGAAACGAGATTCATCGGTTTTTTTTTTACTGGTTCATGTCGATCGGAGTTGACAATTACTTGGAAAGGTTGTCAGAGCATGAAATATCAGCCATACTTAACTTTAACAACACACTCAACTTAGGCACATCGTCGCACGTTCAGAAGGTATTCACCACAGTGGAATGTACTATCCCAACCTCTTCCAATATTGAGTCGTATTGCAATTACCTAACATCTTTCAGAACTTTCAGATGGTTTGCATACAGAACTATAAACTAGGTACCTTTCTTTGTTGAAGGTCGAATGTTACGATGGTGTGTTTTCTTCTTTTTTGTAGAATTCTGATATTGGTTTTAGCCACACAAAAAAACAGGTTTACAAGTTGGTTAACTTCTGTCAGATTTGCTTAAAGACATTAAAATAAATAACTGTCGTTTTACCGACAAGAGTATTAGTATGTCCTAAGGATGCATGTATGCTATTTCAAAACAATTGTTCCTCAAAGAACTTTAAGACAACAACGATGACATGGACGCCTTGCAACATAAGTTTAATCATGAAAATGGAAATAAAAAGGAAGAATATGGAACTGAAATTGTTGAAGATAGAAATGAAACAGATGAAGATAGATAATGATGAAACATAAAACAAAAACAAATAACACGAGTGCAAACAAAAGTCGGACTGCCTTGGTAAGATAAAAAAGGAATTAGATATGCAAAAGTACGGTAAACAAAACCTCCAATTTTCCAAGAACGATAGCAATATGGCGACAAAAATCACTTTCAGCATGGTTCACCAGCATCGACAGTGTAATGATGGTTTGTTCAATTGAAAAAGCCGAAAAAACCATTTTCTAATCTTGCCGAATCATCTTTCAAAAGATGTTGATGCGAGTGGTTTTTTTTTATATCCAATTGCTAAATTCATGAATTAGTGTGGTTGGGTATCCTCACCTTTGACCTTTGACGTATATTTTTTTCACAAAAGTTCGAAATGGCACGCAAGACCTTTTCGATGCGGTACAGGTGGTAATAAGGGAACCAAAGCAGTAGTTCGAGGTCGTAGAATGGCCATTGAAGTCGCCATCGATGAAAAATATCGAGACGCTAAGTCGTTGGTTCAGAACACGAAATGTATGGTTAGAGACTTCTTCGGTCTATCCAAGTATTTTATTGTATCCTTCTTCGTGGTAATATACACTTTATCTCTTGACACGAAACGGGATTGTACAATATTTCATTTAACTTGTCAAAGGAGTCATCTTGATGGATCTGTATCTAATGATGTCGTTCTGGTGATCGAGATCACTCCTCACATCGAAGTACGCTTGTGAAATAATCAACTGATGAGTACTAGAATCTCTACTTCTTCGTGTTTCGGTTCAGGCATTCGAAGACACTCGATCCTACTTCTTTTTCTCGGTCATGTCGGTTGAGTCAATTTGAACTTTATTTACTTCCGGAGCCACTGTCTGACCGACCTCATTGTTGAAGTACTCAGTAATACGTCCATAATTTCTTTGACAAGCCATAATTTTTAATGTACTTTAACACTGTTTGGAAGGCATCTTTGACTTTTAAAATATTCTAGGTATTAAGTTGTTCTAGCCAACCCCAAACTGGCGATGACCACAATAATGCTCATGATGAACTTGAACACCCTGTTGTCTCTTAAAAAGGTACAAATAA